ACCTCATCAAAATCCCTTCAAAACCTCCCCAAAATTCCCAAAAATCCCCCCAAAAATCAAAAAAAAATCAAAAAAAAATCCCCCCAAAAATCAAAAAAATCGCCAATAATCCCCAAAAATCAAAAAAAATCCCCAAGAATCCCAAAAAATTCCCAAAAAATCCCAAAAAATCCCAAAATCCCCCCAAAATCCCCCAAAATTCCCCCAAAATCCCCGAATCCCTCTTAGACCTCATCAAAATCCCTTCAAAACCTCCCCAAAATTCCCAAAAATCCCCCCAAAAATCAAAAAAAAATCCCAAAAAATCCCAAAAAATCCCAAAAAAATCCCCAAAAATCCAAAAAAATTCCCAAAAAATCCCCCCAAAAATCCCAAAAAATCCAAAAAAATCCCCAAAAATTCCCAAAAATCCAGAAAAAATCCCCCAAAATCCCCAAAAATCCCCAAATCCCCCCAAAAATCCGGTTCCCCCCTCCAGGGACGACTCCAAGGATGAAATGGCCGGAGAGCTGGACTTCAGCGGGCTCCTGAAAAAGAGGAGGGGAGGAAGAGCAGGGGGAGGAAGAGCAGGGGGAGGAAGAGCAGGGGGAGGAAGAGCAGGGGGAGGAAGAGGAGGAGGAAGAACAGGAGGAGGAAGAGGAGGAGAAGGAGGAGGAGGAGGAGGAGGAAGAACAGGAAGAGGAGGAGGAGGAAGAGCAGGAGGAGGAGGAAGAGGAGGAGGAAGAGCAGGGGGAGGAAGAGAGGAGGAAGAGGAGGAGCAGGAGGAGGAGGAGGAAGAGCAGGGGGAGGAAGAGGAGGAGGAAGATGAAGAGGAGGAGGAGGAGAAGAAGGAGGAGGAGGAAGAGGAGGAAGAGGAAGAGGAGGAGGAGGAAGAACAGGAGAAGGAGGAGGAGGAGGAGGAAGAACAGGAAGAAGAGGAAGAGGAGAAGGAGGAGGAAGAGGAAGAGGAAGAGGAGGAAGAGGAAGAGGAGGAAGAGCAGGAGGATTAGGAGGAAGAGGAAGAGGAAGAGGGGAGGAAGAGTAGGGGGAGGAGGAGGAGGAGGAGGAGGAAGAGGGGAGGAAGAGCAGGAGGAGGAGGAAGAGCAGGAGGGTTGGGGTTGGGATGGTGATGATGAAGATGAGGATGGGGATGGGACGAGGATGATGAAGGAACGAGGATGAGGATGATGAAGACGAGGATGGGGATGATGAGGATGATGAAGACGAGGATGGGACAAGGATGATGATGAAGATGAGTATGGGACAAGGATGATGATGAAGATGAGTATGGGGATGATGATGATGATGAGAATGATGAAGATGAGGATAAGGATGATGATGATGAGGATGATGATGAAGGAATGAAGATGAGGATGGGGAGGGGATGAGGATGAGGATGATGATGAGGATGTGGGTGATGATGAGGATGATGGGGATGGAACGAGGATGAGGATGATGAGGATGATGAGGATGAAGATGAGGATGATGAGGATGATGATGGAGATGAGGATGGGGATGATGATGATGAAGATGAGGATGATGATGAGGATGAGGATGATGAAGATGACGATGAGGATGGGGAGGATGATGTAGGAATGAGGATGGGGATGATGATGAAGACGATGAAGATGAGGATGGGGAGGATGATGATGAAGATGGGGATGGGGATGATGATGATGAGGATGATGAAGGAATGAGGATGGGGATGATGAAGATGACGATGAGGATGATGACGATGAGGATGAGGAGGATGATGATGAAGATGGGGATGGGGATGATGATGAAGACGATGAAGATGAAGATGAAGATGAAGATGGGGATGGGGATGATGATGAGGATGATGATGAAGATGAGGATGGGGATGGGGAGGATGAAGATGAAGATGGGGATGGGGATGATGATGAGGATGATGAAGATGAAGATGAGGATGGGGATGATGATGATGAGGATGATGAAGGAATGAGGATGGGGATGATGAAGATGAAGATGATGAGGATGGGGATAGGACGAGAATGAGGATGAAGATAAGGATGAGGATGATGATGAGGATGATGATGAAGATGACAATGAGGATGGGGATGATGATGAAGGAATGAGGATGGGGAGGATGAAGATGACGATGAGGATGATGAAGATGAGGTTGAGGATGATGATGATGGAGATGAGGATGGAGATGATGATGAAGACGATGAGGATGGGGATGGGACGAGGATGAGGATGAAGATGAGGATGGGGATGAGGATGATGAGGATGATGATGAAGATGACGATGAGGATGGGGAGGATGATGATGAGGATGATGAAGATGAGGATGGGGAGGATGATGAGGATGACGAGGATGATGACGGAGATGAGGATGGAGATGATGAGGATGATGAAGATGATGATGATGAGGATGATGGAGATGAGGATGGAGATGACGATGAAGACGATGAGGATGGGGATGGGACGAGGATGAGGATGAAGATGAGGATGAGGATGATGAGGATGATGAAGATGAGGATGATCCCCCGCAGGGAGGAGCAAGCGGAGGAGACGAGGAGGAAGAAGAAGGACGATGAAGAAGACACCATCCCCCCCGAGATCTGGGAGCTGCTCAAGGGCGTCACCAAGAAGAGCGAGTACGAGCGCATCGCCTTCCAGTACGGCATCACCGACCTCCGCGGCATGCTCAAGCGCCTCAAGAAGATCAAGGTGGAGCCCAAGAAGAGTGAAGGTGGGAAAATCCGGGAATTCGGGAATTTTGGGAATTTTTTGGGAATTTTTGGGAATTTTTTGGGATTTTTTGGGATTTTTTTTTGGATTTTTTATGAATTTTTTATGAATTTTTGGGAGATTTTTTAAGGGTTTTTGGGGGATGGGAGCGGCTGAAGCACCTCAAGAAGATCAAGGTGAAGCCCAAGAAGAGCGAAGGTGGGAAAATCCGGGAATTCGGGAATTTTGGGGAATTTTTGGGAATTTTTTGGGAATTTTTTTGAATTTTTTTGGATTTTTTTAAAATTTTTTAAGGATTTTTTTGGGGGTTTTTTGAGTTTTTTTGAGGGTTTTTGGGAATGGGAGGAGCTCAAGCGCCTCAAGAAGATCAAGGTGGAGCCCAAGAAGAGCGAAGGTGGGAAAATCCGGGAATTTGGGGATTTTGGGAATTTTTGGGATTTTTTTGGAATTTTTGGGGATTTTTTTGGAATTTTTCAAGGTGGAGCCCAAGAAGAGCGAAGGTGGGAAAATCCGGGAATTTGGGGATTTTGGGAATTTTTGGGAATTTTTGGGGATTTTCTGGAATTTTTTAGGATTTTTTTAGGATTTTTTATGAATTTTTTATGAATTTTTGGGAGATTTTTTAAGGGTTTTTGGGGGATGGGAGCGGCTGAAGCACCTCAAGAAGATCAAGGTGAAGCCCAAGAAGAGCGAAGGTGGGAAAATCCGGGAATTCGGGAATTTTGGGGAATTTTTGGGAATTTTTTGGGAATTTTTTTGAATTTTTTTGGATTTTTTTAAAATTTTTTAAGGATTTTTTTGGGGGTTTTTTGAGTTTTTTTGAGGGTTTTTGGGAATGGGAGGAGCTCAAGCGCCTCAAGAAGATCAAGGTGGAGCCCAAGAAGAGCGAAGGTGGGAAAATCCGGGAATTCGGGAATTTTGGGAATTTTTGGGATTTTTTTGGAATTTTTGGGGATTTTTTTGGAATTTTTCAAGGTGGAGCCCAAGAAGAGCGAAGGTGGGAAAATTCGGGAATTTGGGGATTTTGGGAATTTTTGGGAATTTTTGGGGATTTTCTGGAATTTTTTAGGATTTTTTTAGGATTTTTTATGAATTTTTTATGAATTTTTGGGAGATTTTTTAAGGGTTTTTGGGGGATGGGAGCGGCTGAAACGCCTCAAGAAGATCAAGGTGGAGCCCAAGAAGAGCGAAGGTGGGAAAATCCGGGAATTCGGGAATTTTTGGGAATTTTTTGAGATTTTTTTGGAATTTTTTTGGAATTTTTTAAGATTTTTTTATGAATTTTTTGAGCAATTTTTGGGGGTTTTTTGAGGGTTTTTGGGAATGGGAGGAGCTCAAGCGCCTCAAGAAGATCAAGGTGGAGCCCAAGAAGAGCGAAGGTGGGAAAATCCGGGAATTCGGGAATTTTTGGGAATTTTTGGGAATTTTTTTGGATTTTTTAGGAATTTTTAGGAATTTTTTGGGATTTTTTTTTAATTTTGAGGGAATTTTTGGGGGATTTTTTGGGGTATTTTGAGGGTTTTT